TCATTCATTCACTGATTCATCATCGCCCAGAGCAAACCGCTGAACCTAAAGAGGTGAAATTTGGTACACAGTTAGGGTACGTCATGGAAACGCACACTAAGAAGGGATTTTTCGAAATTCTTCCGAGGGGAAGAGGGAGAGGATTTAGTTCTCATCGAGTACTTAGGTGTATTAAATTAATAACATTTCAAACATTGTTATAAATATTTTTATATATTTCGATTTTTTAACCAAATATTCGAACCGTTTTAAATTCGAATTTGTTATTGCATATTGGTTCGATTATAGAACGATTGTAAACGTTACAGAAAATTGATCAAATTGAAAATAGTTCATTTAATCCTCGGAAATACTCATCATTGTCAGCGGTAGGTGTTATATAACAATTACTATGGTTGTTGAAATACTGAATATAAATGGGGTTTGCTTGCAAAATTTTCTCGGGCGAAGTCGCGGATAACAGCTAATAATAAATACACCTACACACAAACATTTATGCTGCATCACTCTTTCCTAATACAACGTTTCTCAGTGTTACGTTTAATTTCCGTCCAGGATGCTTATAAAGAAGACGACCTGCACTTTGATGATTGTAGTTATTCTATTTGGCACAATTTTATATAGCAAGAGAAAACTTCTCTTCATAATGATAATTCTTCGTCTTTAGATTAATTATTTTGTGCACTTTTCTTATTCGATAGCTTAGTTATTTAAATTATTACAGAAAATAAACTTTTGTACTAGATTTCAGAAATTATGTCATTACCAATTTGTAATTGTAATTGCTTATGTTAGTTGTTCACTAAGTTATTTTGATCTAATTAATTGTAGAATATAACGATAAAAAGTTTAGTAAAAATTTCTTGTGTGGCCTGTTATTCTGACTACAAAGACACCTTTCTTTCAATTAATATTTAGTAAGTCAAACGATGGCCATTAATAATCGGGCTATTATTATGCTGTAATTAATAATTAGAAACAAGTAATTCGGTAATAGAAATAGACGTTAGGCGCCATGTCTTATCTAATTATTAATTTAGATAAGAGATGGCGTCCTTGAATTTCCAGGTTTTTATTACTTTAATTTCTGTCCTCGATCCCCCCATTCCGATTGGTCTCTTTACCTCCAGAGTACGTGTCCGGTAAGATCCTCACAGATTGCCAGATAGGTTTTTCAAACTGTAGAACAGAATTCGTCGAAGTGTTGCCAAAATTATTATTGAAGTCGCCCAAAAAAGTAGGATAGAGCCTTACAAACATCTCAATTTGTTACTCGTAGCCTATTCATGCAATCTTAAAATCTAGACATATTTTATGAAATAAGAGAAAAGAGATAGTAGACCATATGTCAGGTGATACCCGAAAATGTGTTACTGTAAAAGCCAGATGTATATTACCAGATTAGAGTTGTTCTTAACCTATTGTTTTCTATTTGATCTATTGGTCTATTGTTTATATGTTTGTTTAGATCGAAGTGCCTCCACACTATAAGTATGGAAGCACTTCAATCAAAACGAACGATTTAATTAATATATGGGTATCACAATTCGGATATGCTTCCACACTAGTTTACCGAAGGGTCGACATCGCTTCTGCAATGACTACGTCATGATAGAAGACACCCGCACAGCAACTAGGGCTGCTTTTGTTTAATGCCAAAATTGGTTTTGAGAGGTCACGCCAGCAGTCGCGTGTGCAGGCGATTAGATTCGGAAAGAGAGACGGCGCGTTGGAAGTGAACCACTTCGATGCCAGATTAGCAACTAATAACCGTTTAATTTCAAAGAAAAAAAGTACATTTTACAAATTTCGTAAGATATTAAATTAATTGACGTATATAACGTCGCAAGACAGTGAGTTTACAATAAAATGCGGGTTATTGTAAATACCTGTGATTTGAAGAGATTCACTTGTAGATCAGAGAAGGAGATGGTTCGGACTGTCCTTTAGGAAGATTTCACAGAGGGGAGTCGACACGATAGGATAGTTCGGGATGTGGCGACGTCTTACATGATTATTTCCTCGTGGCAAAAGTAGATTTAATCGAAGTCCTGATGGAAGGTATATTTGATGATAATCTTTTGATGGAAGGTATATTTGATGATAATCGGAATAACATCGACTCCGAGTAGGGAATATTGTTCATCCCGTTGGGATGAACAATATTCCCTACTCGGAGTCGATGTTATTCCGATTATCATCAAATATACCTTCCATCAAAAGATTATCATCAAATATACCTTCCATCAGGACTTCGATTAAATCTACTTTTGCCACGAGGAAATAATCATGTAAGACGTCGCCACATCCCGAACTATCCTGTCGTGTCGACTCCCCTCTGTGAAATCTTCCTAAAGGACAGTCCGAACCATCTCCTTCTCTGATCTACAAGTGAATCTCTTCAAATCACAGGTATTTACAATAACCCGCATTTTATTGTAAACTCACTGTCTTGCGACGTTATATACGTCAATTAATTTAATATCTTACGAAATTTGTAAAATGTACTTTTTTTCTTTGAAATTAAACGGTTATTAGTTGCTAATCTGGCATCGAAGTGGTTCACTTCCAACGCGCCGTCTCTCTTTCCGAATGTAATCGCCTGCACACGCGACTGCTGGCGTGACCTCTCAAAACCAATTTTGGCATTAAACAAAAGCAGCCCTAGTTGCTGTGCGGGTGTCTTCTATCATGACGTAGTCATTGCAGAAGCGATGTCGACCCTTCGGTAAACTAGTGCGGAAGCATAGTGGGTACTTGGCGCATTATCACAATTCTGTCCGAATTGTGATACCCATATATTAAATCGTTCGTTTTGATTGAAGTGCTTCCATACTTATAGTGTGGAGGCACTTCGATCTAAACGAACATATAAATAATAGACCAATGGACCAATAGGTTAAGAACAACTCTAATCTAGTAATATACATCTGGCTTTTACATTAACACATTTTCGGGTATCACCTGACATATGGACTACTATCTCTTTTCTCTTATTTCATAAAACATGTCTAGATTTTGGGATTGCGTGAATAGGCTACGAGTAACAAACTGAGATGTTTGTAAGGCTCTATCCTACTTTTTTGGGCGACTTCAATAATAATTTTGGCAACACTTCGACGAATTCTGTTCTACAGTTTGTAAAACCTATCTGGCAATCTGTGAGGATCTTACCGGACACGTACTCTGGAGGAAAAGCGACCAATCGGAATGGGGGATCGAGGACAGAAATTACAGTAATAAAAACCTGGGAATTCAAGGACGCAATCTCTTATCTAAATTAATAATTATTAATTTAGATAAGAGATGGCGCCTAACGTCTACCTCTATTACCGAATTACTTGTTTATAATTATTAATTATAGCATAATAATAGCCCGATTATTAATGGCCATCGTTTGACTTACTAAATATTAATTGAAAGAAAGGTGTCTTTGTAGTCAGAATAACAGGCCACACGAGAAATTTTTACTAAATTTTTTATTGTTATATCCTACAATTAATTAGACTAAAATAGTTTAGACGAGTGAACAACTAACATAAGTAATTACAATTACAAATTAGTAGTGATATAATTTCTGATTCTAGTACAAAAGTTTATACTCTNAAAGAATACAACCAAACACCCCATACTATAACAGGATTCCCTCCAATGTTTTTGATGTACGGAGAAATCCCCGATTCACCTCACAACTTGAATTATCCCTCTCTCAGCGAAGCACGTAAGATTGCCACCGAAAGAACTGAATTAGCTCACGAAAGAAACAGAGATAAATATAATAGTCAACATCAAACTCCAAACTTCAAAGTAGGAGATCAAATATTACTACAAACCTTCTTCCATCCCGACCAAGGAAAACTTGCTCCAAAGTATCATGGACCTTTCACCATATTAAAAATAGTATCTCCTTGTAACGTAGAAATAGACAGACCTGTCCAATCATTAAATAAATTAACCGATATTGTAAATGTAGATAAAATTATACCGTATTATAATCCAACCAACTTTAGAGTTCAAGCCGATAAATTGTATAACACCCAGCCCAACCTCCCTGAGGCTCCATGATGTCGCCTTTTCAGGAGGGGGGCATTTAACATATTTAAAATTTTGTAAATTTTGTATATATTTTCTGTATTTTACTTTGTTAATCTCGTCCCTTTTGGAATGAGGTTAACAGCACCAATAAAATAAGGGGAGTTCGAGTGAGGACCCGAAAGTGAACGGACGTGTTATTTTATGGTCTCCAATTTTCTTTGTCTTGTTCAACCTACACTCGACCTTACGACTACGACTGCAAAATAATACGACATATATATATATCACAACAGATGACACCACCAAATTTTGCCTAAAAAGTTTAGCAACCCATTGCTGTATTACTTTATGAGCTGTCGGCTTCGTATCGTTTTTACAATTGGAGTTTCTGCAATATGGATGCAATTACAGTATTTATATTTTCAAAAATCCGATTGACTGAAACCATTACTTCGCTTACCACCCGGCCGCGCCTACAATGAGCTTACTAAAAAATCCTTTTCGTGTTCACAGGGAAGAAAAATCCAAAAAGTAGACAATAGAACATAACATTTACATATAGAGCCGTGACGAGTAAACACCAAAGCCATGACGCTTCAGGAGCAGTGACGAGTTATTGCTTCATGGGGGCCAGGCAAATTTGAATTTGGGCATCCCATGTAGAATATTGACTTCAGACATTTTATTTCGAGGGAAGTTTTGGGGAGAATTCCCAGATATCCGGGTTACGGGTTATGGTTTAATATCCACGAGGCAGTCACTAATCTTATTGATGCCGTTGTTTTGAGAGTTCGAAGTTGTCAAAAGATCTCTGATACCCTGGAAGATGACACACTCATCCACTCTGTGTAGGGAGATATGAGTTTTGGATGGACAGTGGGGGCATTTATCATGGCTGGAAAGATTCCTTTTGTGCAAAAAATGGTTGTGGAGAGGGAGTTGGTGCGAGTTCTATTGATAAAAATGGCAGTATACCTGTCCAGATCTTCGTAACTGGGGTTAGATATATTATCCAGCCATGGATAGGCAGCTCTTTTGGGATACGCTATCCAGAGCTGGTTCATTTTTGCTTTTACTTCATTTTTGCTGATGAGGAGGAAGTCTTCTGGGGAGATGAAATTTGTATTGATGGTGGAGACGGGGTTGCTCTTGGAGAGCTTATCAGCTTTTTCGTTGATAAAGATACCGGCATGCCCGGAGTCCATATGTAGAAGATGCTGGAGATACAGGTTTGATTAGAGGAGAAGGCTGCGAGGATGTTGTAATGATGGTATGAAAGGATCTGTTCAGAGCGTTCATGTTATTCAAGATAGACTTCGAATCCGTACAGATGATGGTCGGTTTATTAATGTCAACCGCATGGCAGGTAGCTTGAAGGATAGCTTAGCCTTTGGCCGTGAAGATGCTCGCTTCATTGTGAAGAGCGTAATGTGCAGAAATGTTATTCGTGACGACGATGTAAGCGGAGAGCACAGACTCTTTATTCTTGGAGCCGTTTAGGAATTTCTTGAAATGATACTTTTGGACGTCTATTCTGGTTATGCAATTTCTAAATACTAGCATGAGCCATTTGTTTAATGTGATCAGGATTAATTTGCCTGGCGCAACATATTTTTATTTATTGTTTGAAATCTTTGCAACGAAGAGTTATTATTACGTATTTTGAAATGCAATCAATCTACATTTATTTGCTATGGCTTTCGCCTTTGCAAAGGGGTTACAAAATCATGTAGCGTTAATAATACAAAGATTGTTATACATGGTTTCAAAAAGAACAACAACACAAACAATAAATGATAATAACAATAAAGCTTAATTAATAATGTTATGTTAGCATATTTAATAAATAACAGAAAAATTTATAAACTTTAAATAACATATCAGAACTTAAATTGTCGTCATATAAGCAAAACATATCAAAATCGGTTGTCAATAAAGTATCTCTTAAATGCTCNCACCGCCCATTCCTCCACGATTATAAAAATCGCTGCCCATTCCTCCGATTGTTACAGCCGTTATCCTGTCCTGGGAGTCTCTGCCTACACCTCAACCTTTATAGTTAACTGTGTGCCTCCAAATACGGAATAACATCGACTCCGAGTAGGGAATATTGTTCATCCCGTTGGGATGAACAATATTCCCTACTCGGAGTCGATGTTATTCCGTATTTGGAGGCACACAGTTAACTATAAAGGTTGAGGTGTAGGCAGAGACTCCCAGGACAGGATAACGGCTGTAACAATCGGAGGAATGGGCAGCGATTTTTATAATCGTGGAGGAATGGGCGGTGACTAACGTTAGTTATCAAAATAGGTAAACAGAACGCAATAATTATAAATGATTAATAATTGTAAACGAACGACCTCCAGTAGAGATGGACCTTTGACAAGTCGCTCATATGCAAATAATTAGAATATAGAAATTTTGAAAAGGGGGAAAGGTTAATGACGAAAAGGGACATCGCGTTGGGTCGTTAAATTTCAGAAACGTCACAGACTAGACAACAATGGTGGAAAATATGAGCGCAAGTTTCAAAGTTCCATCAACATTTTGCATCCAGAGTAACGGATGGTGTCAAGTAGATTCTTCGAAGCGGGTCTTTCTTGTGACTCGAACAGGAATCGTCTTTCGCTTAGAGACAGACGAGAGACCAATCGGGGAGCGAGAAAAAAGAGACGTAAAGCCAATCAGAAGAAAACGAAACAAAGAACGGAGATTCATATAATCCCCGATCTTCAAAGAACAGATTGACTTTTCGAAAACTGCACCTGCACACGGTTATTCAACGCGCTAAAGCAGTTTTCCGTCTATTGTGCCCAACTGGTAATCTGTGACTACAGACTCAGACCGTCGACATCGACTGACGAATTTCCACATCTGCCGTTGCCCCGGGGCCTTCCTTCGAGCAACATTAGAAACACCATCAACAATTCGAACTTCCAATTGTATAAAGAACATTTTTGTGTCATAGTGTAAGTTATTTTATGTTTGAAATAAACGGGTTTTTGTGAGATTCTTGTCATCCGTGTCTTCTCCGCCACACCTACACGCGAACGACCCTAGATCATCCTGACGCGGGATAAACGATTCCCCCGGGAAGTCGGCGAACTTACACTAGTTATGTGACCATTTAAAAATTTTAATCAACTTGTCATTAAACCATTTCGTCAGTGATTTTACTTCGTAGCCACGAAGCAAACTTTCGGCGTTAAAACGTATATTTCAATTATTGGGTTTTGCAGGGAGTTTTGTGTATCACGAGGATTCATGCTGTTAAATTTTAATAATTAAAGGTCGAGGGGTGCAGAGTTAAAAGGGGCATCGTGTGTCGTATTTGCAGTAGGATCGGAGTTAATGGCAATGTTGCTCGTTATTAGCATTTACAATTTTTTAAAACTCATCCCTACCCTCAAAATTAAGCATTTCGGCATTTCATAAAAATATATAAACATTTAAAAAAATAAAATATCATAACAGATGACGCTACCAAATTTTGCCTAAAAAGTTTAGCAACCCATTGCTGGATTATTTTATGAGCAGTCGGCTTCGTATCGTTATTACAATTGAAGTTTCTCCAAGGTGAATGCAATTATTTATATTTTGAAGGATCTGATTGAATGAAACTATTACTTCGCACATTACTCGGCCGCGCCCATAACAGTCCTACTAAAAAAATCCTTTTTGTGTTCACAGGGAAGAAAAATCCAATAAGTAGACAATAGAACATACCATTTACATATAGAACCGTGAAGAGCAAACACCAAAGCCATGACGCTTCAGGGACAGTGACGAGTTATTGCTTCATGGGGGCCAGGCAAATTTGAATTTGGGCATCCCATGTAGAATATTGACTTCAGACATTTTATTTCGAGGGAATTTTTGGGGCGATTACCCAATTATCCAGGTTACGAATTATGGTTTAATATCCACGAGGCAATCACTAATCTTATTGATGCCGTTGTTTTGAGAGTTCGAAGTTGTCAAAAGATTTCTGATATCCTGGAAGATGACACACTCATCCACTCTGTGTAGGGTGGTATGAGTTTTGGAAAGGCAGTGTTGGCATTTGTCATGGCTGGAAAGATTCTTTTTGTGCAAAAAATGGTTGTGGAGGGGGAGTTGGTGCGAGTTCTATTGATTAGAATGAAGGTATACCTGTCCAGATCTTCGTAACTGGGCAAATATATTATCCAGTTATGGATAGGTTTTCTTTTGGGATACGCTATCCAGAGCTGGTTCATTTTAGCTTTTACTTCATATTTGCCGATGGGGAGGAAGTCATCTGGGGAGATGACATTTGTATTGATGGTGGAGATGGGGTTGCTCTTGGCGAGCTTATTAGCTTTTTCATTGATGGAGATACCGGCATGCCCGGAGTCCATACGTAGAAGATGCTGGAGATACGGGTTTGATTAGAGGAGAAAGCGGAGAAAATGGTTGTAATGATGGTATGAAGGGATCTGCTCAGAGAGTTCATGTTATTGAAGATAGACTTACAGTCTGTACAGATGATGCATCATCTGTACGGACTGATACATCATCTGTACGGACTGATACATCATCTGTACGGACTGTTGACCTTAATAAACTGACCATCATGATGGTCGGTTTATTAAGGTCAACAGCATAGCAGGTAGTTTGAAGGTTAGTTTAGCCCTCGGCCGTAAAGATGCTCGCTTCACGGTGAAGAGTATAATGTGCAGAAATGTTATTCGTGACATCGATGTAAACGGAGAGCACAGATTCTTTATTCTTGGAGCCGTTTAGNCATAGTCTGGTAACTCCAAAATTTTACTCCAATATCTAAAAATGATCATTGTTAAACGTATAGCCATTGGTGGACGACCCAGTTCAAATCTTAAGACAGGTCCAGGCACCGAACGATTAATATGAAATATCGATCTAATAAATCTCAATTGCGTCTTCTCCAATTTATCAATGAAAGATGATCCCCAAATAAAGAACATATAGCCTATACTTGAACGTATCAAGGAATCAAACAATCGGTAATACGACTTAATGGAAGACTG